CGCCTCTACAACGAGTGGATGGCCTTCGACGATACGGCCTTGACACCGTCGGGCCATTTCAAGCGTGCATCTCTGTCTGTAGTGGCTCCCTGAATAGCCGACGCTTGGGCAGCCATACCCGACGCAATGGTGGCAGCTTCTTTCAAATAGAGCTCCAGTTGCAACTCTCGCTGGATGGCACTGAAGATAGTGAACTTTAGGAATGCAACAGCGACAAAGGAAGCATTGATACTTCAGATGACGACAGCTCCCAATTTTCGCTCACTTGAAAGGTGGGATGTCAAATAAAGTTTTGGCGAAAAATCTTGCCTTATATTAGGGTGCAAACTTCTTTTTTTCCTTTTCTTTGGTCCTTTAACTCCCCCCTCAGCTTATAACCGGGACTACCTTATACTCGAATAAATACGGTACTAGTCTGCACGTAACCCTTTTAAAGGTGGTTTCACTGCAGTGTAAGTGTGCGAAGTCATGAAAGCACTTGTGCAGCTATATATTAATTTGCATGTAAGCCACTGTAAAGGTGGTTTTACTGCAGTGATGTTGGGCTAAGCGATGAACTGCTCTGTTCAGGTAAAATCCGTGCTGCCGCGAGGTTTCTTTTCAAGATTACATCAACATATTACCCTCAAATCGATTCAACATTTTTTAAAGTTGAAAAGCTTCTTATACTAGCTTAAATGCTCTGAGTATATTAAATTTTAAAATTGCAACGTATTCTTCAGGTTATCACTTGCATTCTACCGAAAGCCAAATCCTGCTACTATTCAATGTAGTTTCCACTTCCATCCAACCAAAAAGAATGGCATTTGTCCAGGTCTTGTTCCTACTTTTAAATAATACTGTGCAGGTTAGTGGTAAATACTCTCTTTTTTTCTTCATAATATGTTGTATATACTATTCAAATTTTATTCAAATGTGTTCAATTGAAATCACTATTCGCATCAAACCTAAATTTCACTATTCACACAAGCTTACTAAAGACTGAAGAGCATTGCAGGGACTGGGTACTAAGACTGCATGTTTGGGAGTGTCATATGACACTTTTGTGTTTTGTTGGATGCTGTCATCAAGGAAAATACATTGTTGCTATGTAAGAACTTAGCACATTGTAGTACAGAGCTCACAGTGTGTCATCATGAGCTGTTAATGCAAGCATCACGTAAATTCTGGTGTCAGCGGCATTGCTGGGTGTGAGTGAGAAATTGGCGTTGTCTGAGTGAAAAAATCTTGATGTATGCAAAGAATTGAAAAATAAGTTGTTTGAGCAGGATTGAAGCCCAGGCATTCTCTATGGCAGTCGGGTGATCTACTGCAGAACCACTCCTGTGCTTGAAACTGCTGCAAAACAAAACAAACTGCCAGGTCTGCACAGAACGTGCGCAGCACTGTCACAGCAAAAGCTGTTAGAGTGGCGCTTTAGAGCTTTTCTTTAACACTCTTTGGGTAGCTGCTGCAAGTACACTTGCAGGGTACCCACTATGCCATTAATCACTGTGTAGTAAGCATATCCCATACATAGTCATTCTTCGGAGAAGTGTTGTACCCGCTGCACACTTGCAAGGAACTTTGTGCAATTTTGTTGTGCTGTGGCTCACGATGATGAATTATGCCAGAAGCTTTTGTAATCCTCATGTGGGCATTTGCCACAGTTAATAGATGAACAAGATCAAGCTTTCGTAAAGGGTTAAAGCATTCGACAACCCACTCATTGCTCAATGGGCATTATGTCGCACTTCGTCGTGCCTTTGTTGTTTTAAAATGGTTTATCACTCATATTAACACAATTCCTTTCTCGACATCAAGCCTGCCTGAGGCCAGTTTGCAAAGGAGTTTCAAGCACCGGCTAGCTCAGTGGTAAAATACGGGGCCGGCACGCAGGGCACCAGATTACAAATCTCATTGTTTTCTTGGTATTTTTTATTTACTGACCTTTTTTTCTTATTTCGTGTCGTAGTGGTTACGGACACTGGCAGCGGCAGCGAACAAATACTGTGTGCACGTGGCCCGTTTTGTGATTTTATAACAGCTTTCACTGTATTAATATACAGGCATTATTGTGTATGAAGGGTAGCATTAACACGTCCCGTATTGCATGGTAGAAGTTGCACCATGTGAATTGTGCAATGAGTAATGGGTAGTTTGAAGCTGCCAACTGCTTACAAAGAGCTTTGTCATAATACATTATCATGGGCTCCAGTATCAACAAAATGTACATCTACTTAAATGTGCATACTGCCTTATGCATGTGTACCTGGGCACATCCCTTATTAGCGAAATTATGACTTTTGGTGCTGTGGGCATTTTGCAACTACACTGAAACCTCTATATAACGAACCTAGATACAACGGAATGTCAGTTTTAACAAAGTGAATGAAAAATAGTCTTGCAATACATTGGGTTTCTACCTTTCTAAGTGTTCGGAATGTTCCTAATAATGAATTTTTGGATATAACGAACTTCTTTTCGTGTAAGATGCAATTAGGTTCTAATGATGTATGAGTGTATATTTGCACTAGGCATTCTAGAATAGTTCCAAATGGCTAGCTTGTCTTACGCCCACAGATGTTCCTGTCCTCTCGACACGGCTGACATGTCCACCGAGGAGGGAATGTGAATGGGTCCTGATTGCACTATAAGATTTCACCTTTGGTTGCCCTGTCACATTCTGCTCAAGTGCCCTAAAAAAATTTTGTCTGTCGGTATTCACTACTGCAGGGGTGGAAGTGCTGTGCCGACTGCACCATTCTGTGCCAATTTGACGTGCTGCACCATTCTGTGCATAAGCAACAATTTCAGCGATAATTGATTAGAAGCGTAAACTGTCAAATCTAGCCATTTATTATCGTCGACCGAGCAACACGGAGCATTGGCTACGCAAAAGACGGAGCCGTGTCCATATTCAGTATAGTTCGATAAGATGTTCGATCTCATCACATTGTAATTCTATTCATTCATGGGTCTTGCTAGTTCTCGTCTTATTGCTGCTATCGCCATGGGTTATCTAGTAATGCAGTGAAACCTTGCTAATTCGTACCAGCTGGGAACGCGGCATGATCATGCACTAAACGGCAGCACATGTTGACAAGCACATATGTGCATTTCCTGACGTGCGCCATCGCCACCAATAAACAAATACCGTACCACTGCATATGTTGCTTGAAGTTTCGACCAGAAAGTTTCTTCTGCCTTTTTTGCCGAAGTTCGGGAAAGATACAGGACTGGCATTGTTGCTCAATTGTGTGATAGCGCGCTGTGGTGAGGTCAAGGAGCATTTCTGTGGTGGTTCGAGGCACTCAGACAGGGATAACCAAGACAAGGACAGGAAACATTTATCGACTTCACACAGATTACCGACGCTATCAATGGCTGAACAACGCAAGCAGTGTTAAGTTCGAAACCTTACAGCGGTGTGTCCCGAACTGCAACTTAATCTGACGTCACTGACACGAACCACAAAGGGTCAACGATGTGAAGCAGGAGCACGACGAGTCATATAAGCCTGTGTGATGAAGTTGTGCAACGTTCCAGAACATGCAGGCTGCGTTGCACCCGAGGTAGCATTGAGGCCACGATCTGCGCCACTGAGACAGGATCAGCTACTCGCTCGTTCACCATATAAACGGCACCGCTAAGCATGGTCCTGAACACTCACTCCTCCTCAGGACATGCCAAGCTCATCCAGGCTGGCCTGGTAGCACCAGCTCGGCTCCTTTTGGTCCATCAGGTCAAACGATCTGTTCGCTTGCTAGCTGGCCATATTCTCCAGCACGTCAATATCCTTCAGCTCACGAGCGCCATGTTCCTCTGTCTACGGCACTTTCTTCGTCTTTAGTTCCTCACTTTTAGTTTCGTTGTGTGCTTTGAATCTCTTGCCACACTCCTGACGTGTGCTGTTGCCACCAATAAAGAAATACTGTACCCCTGCAGATGTTGCCTGAAGTACCCGCCAAAAAAGTCTTCTCTTTCTTTTCTGCCGAAGTGCTGAAAAGATATCAGACTGGCACTCTCGCACAATTATTTGATAGCGCGCAGTGGCAACGCGGCGGAGCATTTTGAAACCATTACAGGCATGGGATACGCGGCGACTGAAATAGCGACAGAACAGACACTACCTGCTCTCCGCGATACATATGTGTGCAGCTACACGGAGATCTGATACTAAGCGACAAGTGACGCTTCCATTGAAACATGGAGCGGCTGCGTAGACTTATATCACCTCTTGGTTAGTTGCGCGCAGCGTGGCGCTTATGCTGTTCACGCTGTCGGGCGGCTAGTTGTGCGTGCACTATGATTTGCCGTGTGAATTGCTCGTCCCCTTCTCACTCCAGACAGATTACATGTGAGCAGAGTAGCTTGTTTAATGAGCTTGAGGATAAACTTCCACCAAGCGAAGTGCGCCGTGACTATCTAGCAGTCATGAAAACAAGAGATAAGCATTCTTTATCTTGTTTTTTCCCCAAATATTTATATGTCAGCTGTGATGTGAAAACATTATTAGAACATGGATGTGCGCCGCACCGCATACCGACGCCCTCACAAGCAAACTGTAGATACTAAGTCTGATCGGCTCATTAGTACTCAATGTTTAGTAAGAACCATCGGAATTTTTTTTACCAAAAATAATTTCGATTCACAATGATGTTTGACCTTAGAAAGTTGCTCCAAAACTAACTTGCATTGCTCTAAAACACATTTTTTGGTGCTTCGAGCCTGCTCCAATACTCCCATTTTACTGCATCAAAGTTGCTCCAAAACAGCATTATCCCTGCTCCCTGAGCTGCTCCAAAACACTAAAGTCCACTTCCACCCCTGCTGCCGCCAGAGCCAGGTTCGACAGTGATATGCAATCGCAGCGATGACGTCAGGCATGACTTTACTGCTTGAGTCACAGGAACCCAAGCTGTCTAGGTCTAAAAACTCTCCCATCATTTAAAGTTCATTGTCACTGTCTCATAATTTTTTTGGTCACTTTATGATGAAGGTTACTGTCCTCTCTGCAGGCTGGCCTCGGCCGCACGGGAACCCTGATAGCGTGTTACATCATGAAACACTACCGCTTCACGGCAGCTGAGGCCATCGCCTGGATTCGCATCTGCCGACCGGGCTCGATCATCGGACACCAGCAGCACTGGCTCGAAGAGTAAGCGTGACTGCCACTCCTGGTTCTTTGAAAATTGAAGGCTCACTGTGGCCAGTAAAAAAGTTCATCGTGGCCAGTCAAAATAAGGTGCAGAACTTAAGTCAACTAGTCATCGTACATCCAGTTGTTCCAGTGAAGCGGGAATATTATTCAAGGGATTTTCTTTTACCGAGAGTCTACCGTATCTCAAATTTCCTCTTTTGACACCCCTGCCACACTGCACATGTAACACCATTTGCAGCGAATGTGATGATGTGATATGCCGTTCCGCCATACAGCATTAATGAAGACTAACATACAATGGTGCCAAGGATAGTATAGAGGATGTAATTAAAAGTAATTGTAATGTAAATATGAAGAAAAAAAAGTGGACGAGAAGACAACTTGCTGCCGACAAAAACCGGCGGCAAGTTTACTCTGCTTTCCGAAAATTTACTTATTTCTTTTTGCAATAGCAAGGGTCTCATTCTGCCAGACTCAATGCTTCAGGTAGTATGCGAGGTATTATTGGTCAGCAGCCAGCTCATTGGAAGATCACGTGTTATGTGACACCAACAGGCAAAAAGTGTTCCACACTCGCTGTAATAACTATTACAGCACTAATTAACACTCCCACGTTTAAATGCACCCTATAATGTGGACGGGGTAATGATCGTCACTGTAGCTCAGTGGTAGAGCAGCAGATGGGCTATTGAAGGGTCGCAGACATTTTTCCTGCCGGCGACAGGTTATCGTCTGGTCCACTTTTCTTTCTTTACATTTACATTACAAAAACTTCTAATAAGATCCCTTATACTTTCCTTGGCATCGTTGTTTGTTAGTCCTCATTAATATTGAGATAAAACAAAACGAGCCGTTAAATTTACTCTTCCTTTCTTCACTCATTCAGCCCGTTTTCCGAAATTATGCTGGCACGGACTGTTCAATTTTGGCGACTGGAACTTTGCTAAAAATAAGTTCAACAAAAGAAAATGTGATTAAAGTTACGGTGTTTAATTGTGTTAAGTTTGTGATATTTTTTTATGTACAATGAAATAACTAAAGGAATTCGTGCTACTATATGCTCTTACCACGCTGTGACACTATGTGAGCACCTTCTGTTGACTTTGTTTACTGAAAGTTTGTCTCTTTATTTTTCATTTTTCTATTCCTCCGTGTTGTTTTGGTGGAGTGAGGCTGTGGTAGCAAGGTGGAAATTTTGCATGCGATATCTGTTAGCCAGCAATGTAAGCAAACCCTACAGTTTTGTTGGTGGAGAAAGATAAACAGCAAAATGCACACTGGAAAGATGAAAAACATTTACAATATATGCAAATGACCTTTGTAGTACCTGTATGAACCATGAGTGCAAGATTGAAGTCACATTCAGTATGATATGATTGTCGGTGAGTGGTACTCCGTATTTACTCAAATCTAGGCCGACCCCGATTCTAAGCTAACCCCCTAAAGTCCGAAGCCTGAAAAAAAAAAAAAAATAGTTATCTTAAATGTAGGCCAAACGAAATAAAGAATACAGCGTTTACAAAGAGAGAATATTTAGCGAACATGAAGATAAAACAAAGCAGTTGGTTCGTGATGCGAATAATTCGAGAAACGTACAGCCACTAGTCCTGTTGTGCGTGTTTTCCTGACGTCAATTTTTTTGCGCCGCTTCTAGTCATTTAAGTCGTAAAGATGCCGCACTCATGCAGAGTCGTCGTCGCAGACTTCTTTGTCGCTGTCTTTAAACAGTGTGCAATGCTCGATGCCATTGCCTCAAAGTTCCCGGGTTGTCGTTCCACGCTGCAGCCCCTCCAGAGACGCACATTTCTTTTCGTCCACTCCAAAGTCGCCCCGCTTGGCTTTAACGTTAGATGACAACGTTGCGGCTAGGGCAACTTTCCTTGTAAAAGCGACACTATAATTACACTTGAAATAACAAATGGCTTGCCTCAACACTCGCCACAAAGATCAATATGGCAGCCTCGCGTGTGTACTTAAGCCAGGTGTTGACTTAGCTAATAACGGCTGTATCACCATCTAGGTGGTGCTAGTTGTGCACCATTTTCTCCATGAAAGATCCCTTTGAAAGTTCTCGAATCTAAGCCGACCCGGGAGTTTGATACAAAGAAATTTGAAAAAATTTTTTGCCTTGAATCGAATAAATACAGTGGCTGAGAAGTTTTCATGGAACGCCCATGCCTGCAGTTTTCGTTTTTGAGGCGTGTCCAGTTTCAGTGGTGCACACCCACCTAAAGGTTTTTTCAACCCCAACTATGCCGAGCTAATACAAGCTTCCAAAGTTTTCCCAGACCCCAATCGAGCTAGGACTAATCTAGCCCACCTTTGCAGGAAGCAGCACTACCTGTGGCTACAGGGCGACCTGTACAGGTCTCAGCTGAGCAGCAGCCAGCAGCACGCCAACAACGTTAACAACAACCAGGCCAACACGGGCAGCATGCGACGATCACTGTCGCCGCACAATCGTAGCGTGTCCCCACCGGCTGTGACGAGCAACAACCGGCGGGGGTCGCCCCGGCGTGCTGTGGCGTCCGACACAGAGGGTACGGTCAGCCACATTCTGGGCCGATTCCACTTGACCGACAAGAGGACGCAGCAGCAGCAGCAGGTGCGAGCACGTTTTGAGAGTGACTGCATAACTATATTGTGTCTTTCTTGGCAGCCAAGTGTAATATTCGACCTAGTTGGTTTTGTGCACCTGAATCTGGACGCATCAAACCTTAAAGGGATCACGAAAAAGTTACATGTGTGTGTGTGTGTGTGTGTGTGTGTGTGTGTGTGTGTGTGTGTGTGTGTGTGTGTGTGTGTGCGTGCGCGTTCATGCGTGCGTGCTGGAATCTTTTGTTTCAACCTGGAATTTCACAACCGAACGTTGCCAGCTCTTCTGAACGCTACCATGACGAACCCTGTCAACTGTGGGCCTGAAGCTGCCGTCCCTCCCACTGTGCTGCAAACAGAAATTTCGGTCGAATAACTTCGTACCTGATTTGAATAGTACATATATTGCATATTATACAGAAAAATCGGCATATTTGTCACAACATAGCTCACCTACAAATGAATTTTTCTAAAAATTGAAATGAGGCCTGTGCAACTGCCATTTATTTTTTTTTTTGCATCAAAGAAAGTGAGAACAACTTAATTGTAGTGGGATTTGAGTTTTGGTAGAATTCAAGTGATGCCTGTAAGATACGTTACGTTTTTAATTAAAGGGCATATAAGTCGGTATAGCAAGATTTTAAACACGAAAAATAAATTGATGTGATAATAGATTGCTTCATTTAAGCTAAATGTAGGGCTTTCGCGGCAGTGAGGATTTCTCCTCATAATGTGTTTTCATGACTTGGCACCATTTCACTGCAGTAAACCACCTTTATAAAGAGTAGGTTGCATGCAAACTAACAGACACCTGGCAAGTTGATTTCGTTGCCTAGCACTTTTTCACTGCAGTGAAACCACCTTTATAAGACTTTACATGTGAAATATACATTCATCGTATTTACTCGAGTAAATTCATCGTATTTACTCGAGCACGCACAATAAATGCACCCCCAACCTCATTTATCAAAATTCTGATTTTTCTTCTCCCGCCTAATAAACGCACCCCTTACATTCATCCGCTGCAGTCTTGCCAACAGACACTTGCCGCCTCCTTGGCCGTTGGATTTCTTCAGTTTTTTATTAATATGCCGAACCTTCTCGGCCACCTCGGCTCACTCCCTCCCGCCACCTTTGCCCGCTGCCGCGTGCTGTATTGTTTTTTTATTCTATCTGTGCATAGCACATTCCCTGTCTTAATTGTCTGTGTGCCACAGTGGAGTTCACAAACAGTGCGAGTGTAGAGACATCGTAGCTGACTAGCATTTAGCGAGTGAGTCACGAAACTGCCCGCGCCAACAGACGGTCGCTTCCTGCGAATACGAAACTTTATTGCCTATCCATATGCACGCGATTTTTGAGTGACAACAGCAAAATTTGCTGTTGCCATGGCTGTCCCAAAGGGCCATTTGTCGCCATCGCGTCGCAGGTTTCTGAAAAACCTGAAAAGATGGTGACGATTTACGGAACATGGTAGAACCCCAGATTCTTGCTTCAGCTGCGATTTGCTTTTCATGCTTGCTATCCACGCGCACTTCAAGTAACGCAAAATGTAGGCTACCTTTTGTACAGTAAATTCTCATAGGAATCACGAGGTGACGGCCATATTTTGTTGTTAATCTTTTTATTGACAGTTTGTTTTGATGCTTTGGTGGTAGATTGCTGTAATGTTAACTACTTACTGCAATGTTAATGGCAGCGTTGTCGTAATGCAAGGTTGCCACGAAGTTGGAAAAGTGTGTCATAATGTCATAGCACATGCTGTTTGGTGCCCTTCAAGTTCGCTGAAGATACCACTATTGAGGTTAAAAGATTGCAAGAAAAGGAAATTGGCAGATTTCACCTAGAGTGGGAATCGGTGATATACGAAGCACGAAGGAGGAAGGTTGATATGTCACTTTGCATTCAGCACAATGTTACGAGATGGACGTAAATTATGCCGTAGATGGCTTCCATGCCATGATTGTCATGTTTGGGTGTGTCATTTACCTTCGTCATATATTCTTGTCACGTGATACCGAATTTGGTATATGTCGAGCTAGTGAAACGACCGTGAGCACGCTATGAGCGTAGCATGTAGTCATGTTTTACATGACAAGCATGTCATGATTATCCTGTTTGAATGTTATTTACCTTTGTTGTTCGTTCGAGTCACATAATACCAAGTTTGGTACGTGTGAAGCTAGCGAAACGGTCACGAGCGCATCATGCGCGTCGTATGTAGTCATGTTCCTACATGGCACGCATCTCATGATTATCATGTTTGCGACAGTCATATACCTGCGTCAATCATGTATACAGATGGTTGACTCGCACATTTAGAGCCCTGTTTTCGTATGATGAAGGCCTCAGTTATTTGATGGGTTACTTGCTCTCTGTGTTGACATAGCACAGCTGTTTGTTCAAACAGTGGACTGCAGCCTCACTGACGGCAATGTAATGCCAAGTGATATGACGGCGTACCTTTCAATGAGCTGTGGTGCTTGCGTAGACGAATATTAAGATATCGCCCAGTTTGGCTCACGTAAACGTGTTCGCACGTGAAGGGGACCTCGTGTACCACCCCTTTCACACAAGAACATGTTTTAAAAACAGGAGACTCTCGATAATTCAAACTCTCATAATTCATTATCATCATCATCAGCCTGACTACGTCCACTGCAGGAGAAAGGCCTCTCCCATGTTCTGCCAGTTAACTCAGTCCTGTGCTTGCTCCTGCCAATTTATACCCGCAAACTTCTTAATCTCATCTGCCCACCTAACCTTCTGTCTCCACCTAACCCGTTTGCCTTCTCTGGGAATCCAGTTAGTTACCCTTAATGACCAGCCGTTACCCTGTCCACGTGCTACATGCCCGGCCGATGTCCATTTCCTCTTGTCGATCTCAACTATGATATCCTTAACTTCCGTTTGTTCTGTAATCCACTCTGCTCTCTCCTTGTCGCTAAAGGTTACACCTACCATTTTTCTTTCCGTTGCTTGCTACGTCGTCCTCAATTTAAGCTGAACCCTCTTTGCAAATCTTCAGGTTTCTGCTTCGTGGCTAAGTACCGGCAAGATACAGCAGTTTTATACCTTCCTCTTGAGGAATAGTGGCAATCTACCTGTCATAATTTGAGAGTGCTTGCCAAATGTGCTTCATCCCATTCTTATTTTTCTAGTTACTTCAATCTCGTGGTTTGGCTCCGTGGTTATTACCTGCCCTAAGTAGACATAGTCTTTTACAACTTGAAGTGCACTATTACCTATCTCGAAGCGCTGCTCTCTTGTGAGGTTATTGTACATTACTTTATTTTTTTGCAGATTAATTTTAAGACCCACCTTTCTGCTCTCCTTGTCTAACTCCGTAATCATGAGTTGCAATTCGTCCCCTGAGTTACTTAGCTATGCAATGTCATCGGCGAAGCGCAGGTTACTGAGGTACTCTCCATTAACTGTTATCCCTAACTGTTCCCATTCTAGGCTTCTGAAAAGCTCCTGTAAGCACACGGTAAATAGCATTGGGGAGATTGTATCCCCTCGCCTTACACCATTTTAGTCTGACAATTCATACTTTCTGTTAATTCAAACAAAATTAAATTTTTTGGTTGGCCCTCTATTCTATAAATGTATTTAAAAGCCTCTTTTTGCAGTTCCATAGCAGAAAATACCCTGATGCTTTCCCACGACTATTTAAAAATTCACACGCCAATAAAATTCTAACAGTTTAAAAAAGAATAGTAAGCACCTGAGGCCTTCAAAAAAAAAAAAAGACTTTGCAAGTAAACAAACATTTGAATTGAAGTACACGTATGGTAAACTGTGATGCTTCTCAAGTGGTATAGAGAGTTTTGTGTTGCAGGCACATACTTATAGCAATGAAGCAGTTGGCATTCACGATTTCTTTAAAAGCTCTGATCAGCAGTAAATGGCCAATAAACTTGTAGACTTTACACCTCTGCTTTTTTTCACTGCGTGCAATTAGGGCTTAAAAACACTTGAAAAATTTTTAAATGTGATAAAATAATAACTAATCATAATGTGTGGTGTCACCTCACCAAGATATCTATCTGAGAACTTCTGATGATTCAAACTCTTTGATAATTCAAATAAAATTCAGAGGTCCCTTCGAGTTTGAATTAACGAGAGTCGACTGTACATAGAGGTACATTTAAATCTCTTTAAAATGAATCTCATGGGACCACTAAAAAATTATTTGTCATTTGGAAGCGTCGTTGTAGTGAGAATATTAAAAATTTGCAAAAAAAAATCGTACATGGTTAATCACGTGGGTCTCTTACCTGTCCTGGGTATACATTCGGGGTCACGGAATGCTCTAATAAATGCCAAAAAAACAAATGCAATATTATGGAACGAGTGCATGTTCATTTGAGAAAGAGGGTGAGATTTGACTGTAAATATTATTTCAACTGCACATAAAATTAAATATAGAGTAGACCCTTAATCAATGGAAGCATTTTAAGTGGAACTTTGCTTAAAAAGAGCACCTACATCTTATATAATTGGTTTCACACCTGAAATCTGCAATCCTGTTTCTTTCTCTTTAAACGGAACGTCTGTCCGATAGAACATATTTTCCTGGTCCCCTCAGGCTTCGTTTAATGAGTGTAATGAGATTCATAATGGTTCTATGGTTTGAGAAACAGGACGTGGTTTCACTGTGCAGGTGGACCGAGCCAACAACAACACTGTGGCAGGTGACTCCGAAGAAGACCTCACCCAGGGTGACAAGCTGATGCGCATCAAGGCACAGAGGAGACATCCACGCTCCCTCACAGCTGGCACGGCACTCACGTGAGTTTCCTGCTCCATGCCACTTGTGTTGAAACCCGTAATGACATTGCCACACCTCCTTCTTATATTTCGTTTCATGTATCAGATGCAATGGTATGGAAGCTAGGAAGACGCAGAAGCAGTAGTCGAAATCATGCCAAGTAATATATCAGCGCTTTCACTGCCCCTAATAGGATTTTTTTTTTCATATTGAGTGATTGATAAAGGCCGATTCTTCATGCTTTAGGAATGAAACCCTGTTATAGTGTTCTCAATTAGCCGTGACCTCTCACGCTCGTGCAAGACGTGTGTACCTGCACATATTGCTGACTAAACTGCTTGCATAGTTTCCGCAGCGTTGCACCTGATGTGTTAAATGTAGTATGGGCACCTGTTAAGTCCACATATCAATTGACAGTGTGAACTTTTCTATATGTTTTTTTTTTTTGCGCTCATCTCATCTTTGCACTTCCTTTTCTGCATGCATGTTGTTCGGCACAGGCAGCAAATATGACTTGCAAAGCAACAAAATTCACAGTTGCAGTTCAGGGCCTGTGTTGTTTTGTGTAAATGGTTCGGTCCTTGTCTCTTGAATAGATGCCATTGTTTTCATATCGTGGGCAATCAATGTTAAGCAAGCTTTTTTTTAATGTTGAGCCACGAAAGCAGTGCATTACAGCTTGTACATTTCACAATATTTTGTGCACATCGCAAACCTCCTCAGAACTGATTCGCTGTGATTAGCAAGGATTATTGCAAAGTCGAACAGGGCACAGGAGGTGATGACATGAACCGATACTGACACTTGCTTACCGAATAAATGCCTTGTTGTTTCAACAGCACTTTTTTTGACGGTTGACCTGTGTTTTCATCATTTTATTTTTATGTTGTTTTACGTGGAACCTGTTTCTGTTCTTTCATTAAGTGAACAGTTTTCAGTACTGCTTTGCATTGTCTTTGTCCTGTGTGCTTTTGCGGTTGCCCTTGATCATCAGTCAGCAGAACTGTGGAGCCCACTTAGACTCAGTCAGGAAATATATCCTCTGCTTAGGGCTCACTTGGAATCAGGCTAGCCAAAAATTGTACCTACCAAGCTTGCTTGTACTCAAATTTACAAATTTTTTTATTGCATCTCGTTCTGACTTGCTCGCTGAAAATTCACCTGGACTTTTTGGCTTCTGGCTCAGTCAAGGTCTGAGCGAGTCTGCTCATGAGGGAGTTTGCTGATCTGTTCCTTTGCTAATCGGGAATTGCCTACTGACCTTCACTTACACTTTTCTATGATTTTGCTGTAATGTTGGTTGTTACGTGTGGATGCCGAAATGTGTCTTCATCTCTGTTTTGCAGTGGTGAGGAGGGCCGCCCACAGCGGCGAGCCTCTTCTCAGCCCCTGAAGGGTGGAGGTGGCGGGGGCACCGCAATGTCGCCCCCGGGGGGACCATTTGCCCCCTCTCTTGGCTACGCCTCCCCGGTGAAGTCCCTGCGAACTGGTAACCGTACGCCCGCTGCGACTGTCAACGCAACAGGGCGTCGCCGCTCCCCTACCTCGCCTCCTGCGCGCAGGTGGGTGGCACCCAGCTGTTGTCTATGAGCTACTTAGCAACGGAGCTGATCAGCTCTTGCTCGAATGCGTGGCCTGCAAGTCACGATATCGAATCCCAGCCACGGACTGCATTTTCAATGAAGGCAAAAATTCTCGAGGCCCATTCACTTAGATTTGGGTGTTTGTTAAAGGGCCAGTAAACAACCCGGAAATCTGAAAATTGCTATAAAGAGTAAAATGTGCACTTCGGCTTTGTAAATATACCGCCGCAAGAATTTTGCAAATATGTGCTATAATAAGGAAGTTGCATGGGTTAGAACATCAGCTTCAGCTGGTTTCAATATTTTGCGCGGCATCGCCACCCTTCTCTCTCATAGAGAGGGGAAGGCGTAGCCCATCGTCATGACTGGTTTAGACGAATCGACGAGCTGCGTGCATGTGAAGTTGTCGACTTTGCGTCACTGCGAGTGAAAGGAGGATTGGTCAGGTGTAGAAAAATGTGTGGAAATTCTTTTTTGAAACGGAAGCTCAAGGGCGCGCAGCGCTGTAATATTCAGAAGACGTGATCGTCGCACTCTACGAATTGCCAAGCTTGGTTGCGTGGGGGGGGGGGGGGGCGTAAAAAATGTCTGAGCCTGTTGACTGCCTTTTAAAGAAACCCAGGTGGTTGAAATTATCGGAGCCCTCAGCTATGGTATTTCTCATAATTATATGGTGGTTTTTGGGGATTTATACCCCAACAATAATCAAGAGGTATTTTGAGCTCCCAGTATAGAGGGTGGAGGTGTGGCTTTTGGTGATTGCGGCCAATGCAGGTATACTTTTCAGGATTGAAGTAAGCCATATCTTTGACTAGGCTCTTGAAGAACTGCTTTGCAGTTCTTCAAGAGCCTAGTCAATTCACTTTTGCAGTCATGTAGTAGCTTACTGCAGGGACATACCACAAAAGAAAGCCAGAACTTGTATTAGATTAGAATAGCATTTCTTTGGATAGTGCAGCATGTTCGACTCAAACAAAGGCTAATATGACCCGTTGTTTTAGATTTTTTTGGGGAGCTAATTGGATTTGTTTTACTGCTTTGCTGCCAGCTCTGAATGTCTCGTGCAGTGCGGCGTAAAAAAGAATGCGAAAAGAATTCTTTAGATGCGCTGAAGCGAGTGGAAATAAGATTGAACTCTTTTCACAGAGGCAATCTGTAGACTTATTTCATGTTTGTGAACAGATGTAGGCGCCGTCAATATATGTGGGTTTCTTATAACGACGTCACAGTGCGTAAGCTCTGCCCAGCTGTCCCAGCCAAAAGCGCGCTACCACCCTCTATGATCATGTAACAACTGGTGCAGCAGAGGCAAAAGCGGCCTCCAAACACGGCGCATTGGGACACCTCCTGCATGCTTACAAGCAGTGGCCACAATAAAAGCAGCTGCAGTGGCTACAAGAGGGGCTCTGAAATCAGCACATCAGGCTTTGTAAGGTTATAGCACAGCTCTGTTTGAACATGAAGAAAAAGTACCCTGTGAAGAAAGGAAATACAGACAACAAGATGAGCGCTTAACTTCCAACTTTTGTTTATTGCATGACTGTACATCACAATAGTTTATAGTTCACTTGATTAAACCTGTGAACCACGCACATGACAAAAACCTGTTAGCATGTGATGCAGCACAGGTGACAGAAAATGTAGCTTTTAGCAGATTGTCAAAACAACAGTTATACGGAATTTACTCGCATAATCTTCTCACTTTTTTGATTGAAAATCAATTGAAAGTCGGGGTGTGCGAGAATTACGAAGGCAAAATTTTTGCGAAAACCTGCGGAGCGAGGGAAAAAAAAATAATGTGGCCGCAAATCAGGATTCTTGTGCTAGCAACTAGCTATAAGCTTTGAAAAGTACTAATCAAGACTTACCGGAACAATAAAATCTCAGGTTCTACACAAGGCAAGGTTTATTTGAGACACAAAAGCTGCAATCAAGGAGAGGAGTTTTGGAACACCGTATGCAAAGCTTGTGAGTGTAGCATTAGCGTTCGTCACGGAAGCCCGCAAAAGGTTAGCGTGTGATGTCAACCTTGGGACGATGGCCATCTAACACGGAATCGTCCACAGTTACCCTCCGACGAAATAGTCTTACCATACATCCCGGTCTTAGTCACACCGAATGCCCAGCGCATCTTTGTGGCTCTCAACTGCTCGTGCTGCCATTTCCAGTAGCAAACACAAAACTCATCGCTTTCAAAGTGCCGACAGCCCTGTTGTCGTTGTTTAATGCATAATCAATCACTTCTTACTTAAAAGCTGCCGTGTAGCTTCGGTGTCTGCACGTAACCTAACCACAGAACGGACACAACGTGCAGTAACATGCCACAACACATACTTGCCGCTTAAGCTTAGCTTGAATTGGATTGGTGTTCCTTACATTGATAATGCTTAAGAAATTGTGCGAGAGTGTTTTGTGCTGTTATCATGAGTGGTTGAAAGGAGCAGACAACACTCTGGCTGCAATTTTGGGGGTGCAATGATTACTCACGCAAAAAATAAAATCACATTCTTGTTGGGCAGTGCATGGACTGCAAGAACCATGCGAGTGTGAGGATTACGCAAGTAAATACAATATAACAGCACATCGCTGCCCACACCCAAGAATATCGAGCTTTTTTTCAGATAAGGCTACAGGCGGCATACTCACTCACAGGTTCGCACACTTTGCAATGGAGTTCGCCTCAATAAGGGGCGATGTTGGTTACACTCATCTTCACTACACTTGCGTAATGCTTCAACTACATACTGGGGAAATGCGGTTGCGTACTTGTCAGGTCTGCGGCTCAGTTCGTACGCTCAAGTTGAGGCGGTGAAATGCGTGCAAACCGTAAAGAGACTCGGCAAGTTTCCTCATTACTATTTTTCTGTGAATTCTCACAGACATGAAAGGCTTGTTAAGCACACCGCAGCCAGAACAGCCCTGCCTGATGAACGGTGTGTCAGGTGTGTCATTGCAGCCGCATATAAACAGGAAAACATAAGCATCACAAGCAGTTGCTCATAGCAGTCATTATATTAAGGAACAAAAAAAGAGAGAATAATGTCCCATTTGAATCCGAGTTTGGTTCAGCACGGTGACAGTTCACAATATTACAAACAAAGCTGTAAAAAAGGAAATTTTAATGCCTAGGTATCTAAATTTTTAGCTGTAAATGCCAGAACCTTCATATAAGGGCTGTACAAGTGCAGTTTTATTGTAATTTTATTTTTGTTCACAAAATCTTGTCTTTTGCTGTCCATGTCTCACTGTGTGCCTGCTTGCCTTTTCTGTTTCCTGCACAGCCATGGCCATATGTGATGATGCCTTTCCCACCACCACCTGCCGTGCTTTCTCCTCTCCCAAATTGCTCCTCCTCATCCTGTGTCCTTCATCGCCATGACGACAATATTCCAAAAGAAAGCTGTCCTGTCTCCTGCCTCACTTGACCTCTGCTTGCCTCTACTTTCTTTCTGGCGCTTTTATTTGCTGACTTCTTCCTATAGCTCACTAAACATTCTTTTACTTTGGAATGATATTGTAAGACTTCACTTTTATTTCCTTGAAGGCGGGTATTACATTAGGGGTTGTAGCCACATATATAAGTGTATAATAGTTATATACACACAATGATTATACATACATAATAATATATACATACATAACATTACACACACAATTGAGTAAACACATTAACCACATGTAAAGAGAACCTTGTTGATAAGTTTCTGCCTAATACGATTTCCCAGCTCCTACGCTCAAAATCACGAAAACAAAAATGCTTCCATAGCACTATGTCTTAATACATTCTGCCTAATGCATTCCCCAAAAATACGGTTATTCGGCAGCAGCATTCAGCATTGCGGCAAACTGCAGTGATATGATATGTTCCGCGGACAAAAATTCTCATTCTGGGGTGGAAAAAACTGCTCTCGCATGGTTGTGAAGCGCAAGTGGCAGAGTCGGTTCAATTGCTGCGCGCATTTGTCACCCCTTGGCCCCCGCGTTTATACTCAATCGTCCCCTCCGCGCTCTCTTCGAATGCCTGGTCCTTCTCTCCATCACTCCTGCAGCTGGCTGTGAACCACTCAAAGGACCAGTCTGAGCTGTCAAAGTCTTCAAACTGTTTTCAAAAAATGCGTTTTATTTTCTGTAGCACAGTGCTTTTCTTTCTCAGCTAGCACCTTGGCGTGATTTCGCTGAGAACTGCAAAGCCTTCATCCGTAGCACGGTACGTGAAAATGCGATCGTTCTACACTACAACAGCCTAGAGAACACTACGGAGCTAACCATCGCTTTGGCACGAGACGCATGCGCTGCTTTCACTACACAACGTGCCGCCACATCTGTCTCCTCTCCCGACCCCGTCTCACGCGTTGCTGCCGTCTGCCAGTATGTTCTTCTTTTACAAGATTTCCGCATTTAAGTATGTTAGCCACGCACCTTTCAGCATGAAAAATGAAAGATAAACCCTTCGCCAAGTTTGTCTCGATTTGCGAGCAGCTAAATGTTGCGACACTGTTGCGGAGGTGGTGGGGGGCAACGCAGCGCAGGAGGTGGAGGACGAGGCACCGGAAGACAGCAGCGAGAATAAAAGCAGGCGCTGACCGGCTACCTTCGCGGAAGCTCTTGCGGGAATGGAAGCTTACAAAGCTTCTTTTGCACGAAAAAGTTAAAATGCGGACAAGGGTCAACAATGTAGGCACAAGGAGCTTTTCTCATACAAGGGTGAAAGGCTGCAGCAGAAAATTGCTGTTTTTTTTTTTTAGAAATTAATTTTTTTTTTCGTCTTTACACCTCTATTTGGACTTGTCAGCTTCAATTCTTGCTACATTCGGATTGTATGTTATCCCGGATTGTACGTTTACCTTCCGTGTTTTTTCCGAAGAAATATCAATGAGGTTCTGCTGTGTATGTACACTGAAAACAATCAAGGCATGGGGACACCGTTGTGTGTAGGGCCATGCGTGTATTCATGCGTCTTGTTTGTCTTAAAGTGGTCA